AGTTCTGTCTCAAAGACATAAGCATATGTTTGCACCTGTAAAGTCGAAGGCGTCGAAATCCACTTCAAGCCACTTTTAAACATCAATAGAACGAAGTGATGAGCGTCAAATCTTTTTAGGTTTCTCAACTTCCGTGCATGATTCATCATTATCATCTAACAACATAGCAAATGATGTCTCGTTAAATTATATTTACGTTCAAATTACACTCGTGTTGACTCAGCGTGTGATGAGGAAAAAAACATCGGCTGCTATGTACGAATAGAGCGAAATTTTATCGATTACGTCATCGGTGAATAATATTCTCAACGTTGCCTGGTAAACAAGTTATCAATATTTTGAAAATTAGCCACACTGATGAATCTTGTTTCATACTCAACGTGTGAACAAGAGTTTTGTTGGTAGAATCGACTTTACCCTAGAGGCGAATTGTGGAGTGAAAGACACATATACTTACTGTGTTAATAGGCTATAGAAACTGTTCTTATTATCATGTAGTCTAATCGGATTCTATGTTAGAACTTTACGAGAATTAGGTGGAACAAAATTAGTTTCCCGAACAACCGCAATAACCGCTCTAGTGACTTAAGATAGTATTTTTTGTTTCTTTCACACGGATTCTATATGCGATAAGATAAGTGGGGAATCACCGCCCGCCCCTTGGCACACAAAAAACCAAAAATTGTTCCTTCGATTAAGTTATTCGGTGCAAAAAGCGTTAAACTCTTAATACTTTTACTGGTAGTTGGTCCTCGAAACTATAATATTGCTTGCTACAAAATTACATAAGGTAATAAATATACACTTTGCCTGTTTTACAGTTACTCGGAATAAACAAATTTCTCATAGACAACAGCCTAGATCTAGTACTTTTATTAGTAGCGAGTACTTAGGTGATTGAAATATTTCTTCTGCGGGAATTGAAACCACCAAAGCATTAGTACATTATAAAAAAGTGTGTGCGCCCAACGAGCCATTAGTAAACGGAATTTCAAAGTCCTACATTACTAAGTTAGAAAATTAAGTGCTCAAAACGAATTGCAATAGGTATTGCACTGCTGTCGGCTTTTGGATTTTTAAGTTTATTACATATACTTATCTTTAGATAAAACAACAACCGAAATAGCAACTGCAGAATGGCAGATTTCGTGTGGTTATGATGACAAGTGAATAAAAATTCACCTTTCTCTTGAGCATTTAAAATTGAGCTCTGAACTAACGCAACATCGAAACTGTGGTAATAATTGCTTAGTCATGTGCACAACGAACTAACATTCTCTAAATATATGCATAACACTTCACCATCGTCTAAATACCGTTCGGTTCGAGAACGAATCGGAAAACAAGTAAAAATGAACTCGCATTTCAGAGTAGAAATATGGAATCTGCGTCGTCACACACGTAGGGCCGAGAAATCTCGTATTTTACCATGCGTCAGTATAGTTATTAGCAAATAAAAGGAACGGATATAATGGAGACAGCGGACATCAGAGTTGGGTGACGAGAATATTTTTAAGTTACTGTGTGCAGAAAATTGCAAAGCACCACTAACACTCCGTTGTCCTTAGCATTCTGGATGCTACGATAAAGGTAATTACAAAACACTAATACAAACTCCGTGTGTTTAGAAAACGCATCGTGAAAGTGAAACAATGAGTCAAACAATTTACCAATGTTACCGTCCAACTACAATAGAAGTTTATCAAGGCAACAGTATTAGTCAGTATGATATCTAAGGCCAAATGAATGGGCCGTGGGATGTGAAAATAATATGGTCTAATCGCTGGTTCGACTAGTAGTTGCGTGTTCCAGCGACATTTACTTTTTTCATTTTCTTACATGCAAATATAATTTTGTATCACATTCGTACACAGTACACGAGGACTTTGCGGGGGCAGAACCTGTTTACTGGACGTTTTAAAGTAAATAATCACGGTGATGCGTGGGCAGCGTTCCTCTGACTGCTCCGTTGGAGTCAAAATAAAAGATGACTGGTTTTTATTATGATTCTTGTAATAATTATTTACGAATAACTTAAATAATCACAATAACAAAAGAAGTTGTTGACAGTTGTGCCTTCAGTTTGTACAATGGAAATGCTTGTCATCATTGAATGCGACATTGCTCATTATAAAACACAGGGCATTCTGTCGCATTGCACTCGCTCTGTAAGCGTGTCACCGTCCTTGAGACGGCCCATTTCGACCTGGTTAGTCCCTTGGTAATCGAAAACAGTTGCCAAAACAATTGAAGTAAATAGATTCCGGAAAATTTATTGTCTCTCTCTCTCTCTCAAAATCTATTTTTTGTCTTATAAATCATTCGTTCTGTTCATGACCTTTAAATCTAGCGATTAAATTTAAAGCAGGGAAAGTTTAGAACAAAAACGAGCTTTAAGATATCGTGAAAAGGTCTGTATTTGCTGTCTGATGAATCTGAAAACCTCGCACCGGGCGCTCTTAGGGAGTGTCTATGACACCCCTCCCGCCGAATTACAATTCAAAGTTTGTTTTAAACTTGGAATTGTAAACTTTGCGAAATATTAATGGATCACGAAAGTGGAGGAGTTCGCCCGAAGTTGCGCCGAGTTCAGAAACTTGAAATGACTTGGTATTAATGGTCGAACTTTCCTGTCTGATGCAAAAACCGTCAACGTTTTATACGAATGCTGGTTATGGAATCTGTAGCAGCCGGCGCACCAGTAAGAAACATATCTCGAATCACTGGCCTGCATTTTAACATCTGGCACTGACTTTCACTGCCAGTAAATAAGAATCTGTCCAACCGACTTCAAATGGAGAAGGTTCTCAATTCGACTGTATTTTTTTATGTTTGTTTGTTACCTCAGAACTTTCGATTGAGCGGACCGATTTCGATGATTCTTTTTTTATTTGCAAGCTGGTGCTTCCCATGTGGTCCCATATTAATTTCGTTGGTATTGGATCGTGGGGTCCAGAGATACTTAGGGAGCTCCTGAAAATCAATTATAAAATGAATACAGAACGAGATATCTGAAGTAGTCGGTTTTGTTTTTCATTAATAAAAAAAAAGGCTTGTTACGATTAATATCTATGATATAGCATTTATGAGAGAGCCGAAATTTCACAATCTATTAGAAAAAAATAATCCAAAAATGTATTCCGACTTAAAAGTCTAACAGATTTTATCAGGAGCAAGTGAACGGGGCTACGTACGCGGCACGGCGGTCTTCAGACGTTATTTACTTAGAAATTCCACATTTCATCGGCAGGTCTTGATGTAATTGAAGACATACAGACGCGGCTCACATTGTGCGGCGCTTAGTGCCTCTGTAGGCAATTAGTGCCGAATAATGTGTTAATCTAACTGGAATTTATAACTGGAAGAAGCATGCGAATTAATTGCGCGATTCGCAAATTCACCAGATTTTTCTTGTTGATTAATGTTCACCCTTTCAGTCCATAGAGTATGTAAATCCTAATTCTGCACATCGCGGAAAGGCTAGGGTCTCTAAAGCTTTATAGACCCTATTTAACCAGTCACGCATATGGACAAGCATGCGATGAAATGACCTCTGCGACTCTGTAGCGGCAGTTGTTGGCTGGGAGCGGTGTACCACCGTACCGAGCGGGACAGTTATACCTAGTGCACACGTACTAGTAGACGAGGACGACCTAGTGCACACGTACTAGTAGACGAGGACGTAATGGGGCGCTGTTACTGAGTATGTTTTTTTTATTTATGTGAAAGTTGCCAAGCATGCAGACGGTTCACCCGATGATAAGTGAATACCGCCGCCCATGGACTTCTGCTATACTCGAGAGTTCCAGATGCGTTGACAACCATTTGATAATAGGGCTTCGGCCACCTCACTCACCAGACGAAACGCGAAAGTATTATACTTCCACTTTACGCCGGTCTTCTGTGAGGTCGTGGTACTAACCCGGACAAGCCTGTCCATTCGTGCAACAGCCGACGCTGCTGCGTGGCCCTACCACCGTAGCTTTATGTTTATAGTTTTCTCGGGGAGACCCCCGATGGTCCGGAATACTGTCGACCCATCCCTCAATTACGCGGACGACGTTTTCGAACGGTCCCGTTAGGGTTGTATTGGTAATTTTATCGTTTACTTCAAGAGGATTGGTTTCGACCCTCTCTCGAAGAACAGTTTTATTTTCATAATGACGTATCTATCTACTTAGCAAGTGACGCGTTACTAGAGAGAAAGTGAATCGTGTCAAATGTCCCGCTTAATTTACTTTGAATTTTCAATATCTCGTATCACTATATTAGTTTTTTTTAATCTAGAAGCGATATTAATGCAATAAAACTTCATATTCAAATTACAACGATCTCATCAAACATTGAGTTTGAGGAGATCGCTGTTGAATAAAATAAGTAATCCAGTTAAAATAGAACTTTTGATCAGAAACAAGACTGACAAAGAAGACGAAAAGAAGAAAATAAAATCAGTAGTGATAAGCAGCGTATAACTAAAATATTATTAATCGAAAAGCCTAATCAGGCTTAGTGGCATATCTAAGCATGATCTTATTTAGTTGTGAATTAATTCAGGCCTATGATCATTGCGAACATGCGTTTGGTGTCAGAATGGTGGTCTCCTGCAATTGCTATGAGTGTGGTGTCAGAAACTGTCCAGAAATACGATCAAGGGAGCACGCTTAAAGTATTAGTATGCAATATTGTTGAAATATTCTTTGTCCGCTATTACTCTAAGAGGAGTGAAACGTGTCACATATTGACTGAATCATCAGTAATACGTCCATTGTTCCCATTGTACATAATATTATTTCTACAACATTTTTTTTGTTATATTTGTTGTTTTTATAGCGGCAACAGAAATAGATGATCTGTGAAAATTACATCTGACTCACTGTCACGGTTCATGAGATACTGCCTGGTGACAGACAGACAGCGAAGTCTTAGTAATAGGGTTCAATCTTTGGGTACGGAACCCTAGAACTAGTACCTGTTCTTGTAATTGTAAACCATGTCGGTACCTGTAGGTGAGCGCAGCGGAGCCGTAGCCGGGGTTGTGCAGGCGTAGCTGCGAGGGCTGGTAGGGCTGCGCGTAGGGCGTGGCCGGCGGCGCCCGGGGCTGCGGCACGCCCGCCGCCACGCCAGCCGCCGGCTTGCCGCCGTATGCCAGGGCGCCGCCCGAGTGCCCGTGCTCCGGCTGCCCGGGCCTGCAACGGAACACCTGTTAGTATACCACACCGGCACAGAGACAATTTAACTGTGATGGACCATGCAACAGTACCACGACCTGACAGAGAACGGGCGTAAAGTGAAAGCGTCACACTTCTGCGTTTCGTCTGGTGATGGAGTTAGCCGGGACCCTATTAAACACAGAGCTAAGGAAGACTGTGTTGATGAGTCTAAACCTATCCCTCCAGAGTCGAATTGATTTAGGAAGGAATATGATGACTTTAAATAAACGGCGTCCTTTTCGTAATTCCGAAGTTGGGCTAATAACTATAGCAAAGATAAATTATCAACTAGAAACTATATATTGTTATATATTATAGAGGTTATTTGGAATACTTTTCGTCATCTTTAGATAACGAATTCGTAATGACGTGTATGAAGGACTTAAATCTACAGCAGCCAAAGCAATTGACATAGCTCGCTTCCTTATCGTCACATGGAGTACAAAGCAAAGGGATTGTGCACAGCTTACTTGGGTTTAGGAGCACGTTTAGATGAGTTTTCGGAATTTTACGTAAAATTTTTAAAGGTAAGCTGCTGGTTAATACAGCTCTCGCTCAGCAAAAAGTAGATCTTATTTTATAAAATTAAAATATAAATCTATGACTAACGTGTCCAACCAAATATGGTATTTTTCTTATCATTAAAAAGATGTAACAATTTGATAGCTTCAGTCTCCCCATCCGAGCCTTCGAGGCAAGATACATTCTTATACCTTAGCCTACGATAGAGTTAATATAAGCACAAATAATTATAACAAAGCACAAAAACTAAAATCGGTGCTTCCCATCGGACCAACACTACCTTGACGGTAGGAGAAAATCCAAGAAAAATCTCTCGACACAACAGCACTCTCGTGATTGTCAGAATTATCGGAGAGCGCGTGCACAGCATGGGGCCAACGAACGGAGACGGCATTCAAGCGGAGGGATGGGAAAACGCAATCGACGGAATCCATGCGATCGACTCGGCTAATGTCTCGTGTCATGTCATTCGCACTGAGACGCTCTCCTCGAAAAGGAGACATACTGAAGAAGACGCTGCATCAGTTCTCGCGTATTAAATACTTCTAATGGCGTAACGAATTAGAAATTGCTCGCATATTTGCATGAACAACAGATATTTTTCTCTAATCTAGATGTATTTATTTTTATTTGAGCATGTTCTAACGCCTCTATGACACGGAATAAGGTTGTCATACAACATAAAAGGCCGTGATAGCTCATTGTCCGGGGGCTCGCTTTTAATTCAATATACTCGAGCAACCTGAGTTCAATCACCGGTGCCGGCACCAATGAAATTTTTTATTTTAAATACTGTCTTATAACGTGCTCAGCGGTGAAGGAAAGCATCGTGAGAAAACCTGCGTATTTTCGAAATACTAATAACGAAAAAAAAAATATTTCGAAAGTATGTGAAGGCCGCCAATCCGTAGTGGGGCCGCGTGGTAGACTGTGCCCTGATAACCTCTGTAATGACCTCCTCATTGCCTGTGCCCTACAGTGGGACATTTAAAGGCTGTTACTTTACTTTTTACAACAAAAAATATCTTTAAGCTTTGCAATAACTAATTACAGTTTTAACTATGACCACATCGCATCTTAATAACGGCGTGGAATTCTAACTGTTGTTAGAGATATAAATAAAACTAGTTCCACGTCAAATTTCGGTGCCGGTTGAGGAATAGTAAAAACGCGAGCTATAACGGCTTTTAGCGTCGATAAAATCTTTATCTATCGTCATAAATTCAATTTACTTCCTTCTCCAAACACTGTTAATTGAGACGACCTGGTCCAAATTGTGCTGGATACATTTTTGAGGTAATCACACCGTTATTCTTTATAGATGGAGCCCTAAATTAAAAAAAAATGTGGCAGAGCCACGGAACAGTCTTCGCTGTTGCATGAATGAGCGGTTCCGTCCGGAGAAATACCACAACCTCGCAGAAGGCTGGCGTGAAGTGGAAGTCTTACACTTCTGCGTTTCGTCTGGTGAGTGAGGTAGCCGGGGCCCACTTGTTTAAAAGTCAACGCATCTGCAACCCACAGGTGTTGCAAATGCGTTGAATTAATGGACCCTGGTTATACTTAGTCGAAGAATAACATCACTGTTACCGAAAATGGCGTGATAATTGCTCATCTATAATTTAACGCGGTCGAGTAGGTATATAGGTGGGTGGACTATGCCGCCTTACGTAAAGTTTCACTTAAGAACTTACATTAGTTGTGAGGTAAGTATAATGGCGAAACTAAGAGCCACCGTGAGTGCATATAACTGTCAGCCACAAACACAAGCTGTGGAGTTTCTTAGTCTGTTGACAGCTCGAGAGATCACATGTATATCAATAAATAGAACTGCAGTGCCCAATGCAGTTAAACTTTGCTGCAAACTCGTGTGCAGGACATTCCGTTAACGTTAGAATATTAAAAACGAATAATAAGTGTTACAATAAAACTAGAATCCAAAAACATATTTTCAAAATAAGACTAATCTATATAGATAAATAAAATTGCGACTGTCTGATTTTAACATTACATTAACCGCTTTTTACTAAATGCATATGGATGTATACAAGGTGTATATACCAAAATTAATATAATAGTCTGTCTGTCTGTCTGTTTGTTCCGGCTAATCTCTGAAACGGCTGCACCGGTTTTGACGGGACTTTCACTGGCAAATAGCTGATGTAATAAGGAGTAACTATGGCTAATTTTATTTTCTTTCTTTTAAATTCCACGCTGACGAAATCGCGAGTACAGAGTTGTACATTTATCAGAAAAGGTCGGAGAGGGATACCTACGTAACTTTTAGTTGTGTAATGATAACCTTACTGAATTTTTTATAGTAAAAATTTTTATTTTACTATAAAAATCTAGAAAGTTAAATCTACGTTAAAGAACCAGTGCTTTTATGCAAATAGAGCGAAACGTTTCCACCTGAAAACTGTCAGTTATACGGATAATACGTAAAGCGAAACCGTCAAGCAGCATCCAAAACGGGGATTTGAGAAAGTATGCAGAATACCTCTATGACGAATTCGTTATACTTAAATGACTATGTTGGGGAAGAAAGGTTCTCGAGTGGCAGCCTCGTACTGGTCATCGCAGTGTAGGACGACCCCCCACTAGATGGAGTGACGACCTGTACAAATGTGCGAGAAGTCGATGGTTGATACAGGTGGCTCAGGATCGTACTTCGTGGCAGTCTATGGGGAAGGCCTATGTTCAGCAGTGGACTCAAACAGGCTGAAATGATGATGATGAAATGACTATTTGAACGACATAAATTTTCACAACTCAAGAGCATTTTCAAATCACGAGAGGCGTAAAATATCAACCTCACGCCCGGTTTCTGAAACAAAGATCATCGTAGAAGTCAACTAATCAGCTGTCAAATTGATTTTCAAATGTTATTCGAGTCGCCAAAAGGATTGTTAAACTATTACTTATTACTTATTGAATCGATAATTTTTATCATTAAGAAGATCATTATGATCAATTCAAAGAGTTTAAATAAACTGAACCTAAATACGATTGGGATAACATAGATTCGACTATTGGCACAAAACTGGGAATGTCTAATAAATTCCATTGATTACACGAAACGTACCAGCAAGCTGAAAATTTTTCAGAGTCCAAATCAAAATTTAAGCTTATTGAACGTCAAAAAAAAACTACCACCGGTTCACTAAACCAGAACTGAACAGCGAAGAACCGGCAAGAAACTCTGAGGTCTTGTTATCTCTTCTTTGTTTTTTTTAATATACAACTAGCTTTTCGCCCGCAGCTTCGCTCGCGTTGAAGTCATTAAATGAATATCTTCCTTTAAAAATATATATACCTATATATATATTTTAAGATATTTTCAACTCTTTCTTCCAATTAAAAAATAACCTATGTCCTTTCTCAGTAGTTTTGGAGTGAAAGCGAGACAGACAGACAGATTTACTTTGCACTTATAATATTAATATGGTTCATATAAAACTTATTTAGCTATAAAATCAGCAGCAGCCAGGGGATTGTTAATTGCGCAAATTAAAATAGTAATCTTTCAGCATTAAGACGCCCATTATCTCAAGTCCGGCATCACATCACACACTCACCAAGACTGACATCGCAGACAAGCGGTGCACGTTAATAATAATGCTATTCTTGTGAATAATTTTTTTGGCATAATTCGTCCACAGTCTAATCGAGGCTAAATTTAAACGGGACAGTATATCCTTATGACCCTCGCTTAGTATTCGAGTGCATGCGTTTGTGAATGTCCCGCATATATTACGAGCAAAGTATTGAGTAACTCTCAAGATACTCTGAGTCATTCAGTGTGATTGATGGCTTTTGTACACATCATAACACTAGTTCGACTAGCTATCACCATTGAGGCAAGCTATCATCAATTAGATAAAGTGAAAGTAGAAAAGCTATCACTCAACGACGTGCTACTTAACATTTAAATAGATATAAGTAATACGCTAACAGAATAGTTAAAATGTGATAAAATAACACAATAGTGACAAAATATAGAACGGCCATTAAAAGCGCCTTAATTTGTCTGTTCTTGTTTGTCTATTTACTTAAATGTACGATCGGAAAGGTTGTCCCATTTAAATAAAAATATAATCCGCTAATCATACGGATATAGCCATCATAGTAGTAAAGCTAATGTTTTTTTTTTTATGTGATAAGTTGCCAAGCGAGCTGACGGTACACCTGATGTTAAGTGAATACAGCCGCACCCTCGGCTGAAGCACATTTCCATGGACAACCTTTTGAAAATTGGGCTCCGGCCACCTCACTCATCAGACGAAACGCGAAAGTATTATGCTTCCACTTTACGTCGGTCCTCTGTGAGGTCGTAGTACTTACCCGGACGAGCCTACCCATTCGTGAAACAGCCGAGGCTGCTGCGTGGCCCCACCACCGTGATCATGTTAACTTACAAAGGACTCACGGTGGTTTTACGAACATATTTAAGCATCCCCGCTTTTCATTTACTTCGCAGTGTTCATCGTCGCATCTCATTCGAGTTAACTGCTAACTTTATCCGGTAGCGAGGGCTGTGCGCGCGGTGTTTTATCGGGCGCGCAACAAAGCGATGAATCAGCCCGTACCGTCGCTCTGACTAATCGCACCTGAATCACCTGCCGACTGCCGACCCTTTCTTTTATGTTTGCGAACGAGTTAACGGCTGGCGGAGAGCTGCGAGGTTACGGCAATTAGAGGTCGCTACTGGACAATTCCATTCTTCGGGTCGCGAAGTGCTTTTGCGTGTCACTTTTATTCGCGAATGGGTTACATTGAGGACACGTATGTCGTTGGTGAGACCTCAATATTGAAAGCTCAAATTACCGTACCTCGTATTACTACGAAGGTCCTCGTAACTTCAAATAATGCAGATACAATAGAGTAGTATAGAATATATTTGGGTATTCCGTAGCGAGGCGCTTCGAACGATAATATGATTGTTTCAATAAACAAACATCGTGAAAAAATATACAGTACGGTCATACGCATTGAGTCCGTTATTAAACCCATAGACGTACCTACAAGGTTAAATGATAAATAAATATAACACGGCATAGGCAGTTAATCTTTGGATTGGTCCCAATAATATAAAGGTTGTCAACGAATCTCAGGTTATTTAAATGTCTATGGGCATCAGTAATCGCTTAACATTAAGTGAACAGCACAACTTTTCACATAAAAAATACAAAAGATAAACTTTAAAAAAATCTTTAAAGATCAATCAAAACGAAAGATAATCTTTCGATCTAGAACTTATTCCTTTCGTACGCAGACGTTTCTAAACCATCCGTCTGTGATAACAGGAGTATCATTAGCTGGTTTACATACTGATCATAATAGTCTAAACGATCTCCAATTATTTATTGCGCAAATGACTATAGATAAATATGGTGATTTAACAAGTGTAATGACACGTTACGTCGCAGTGCTT